GAGTCACGACTGTAAAGTAGTTTTGCATTATTACAAATGCATTTTATAATCTTAATTTTTTATGAAATTTTGTGTATTTCTCGTTATTATTTTGCCAGATTTGCATACATTAGCAGTAGTAGTTTGGGAAATGTGACAGTAATAGATCATGTCAGCTAAATTGTACAAAAAAGAGAATAAATGTAGATTATTGACACAAACCTACAAACTCCCACCGCTGTTCAGAACATGCAAAAACTCAACGACTAGTTGAACTTTCCTGAAACTCCCTCTTTGTGGTTTCAGGAAGCTTAACTAAAATTAAGCTAAATTTGTGTCATCAGAATCACTTCTCATTCTAAAAAAAAATCACAATAAAACAATTTTGCAACCAGATTTTGTAGAAATCGAAAACTTCTGTGTTTCTCAGAAAAACCACAAAATGCCGAGTCGTGTTACGAAAATTCAGGGACTTTCAGTTTTTTTTTTTAACATCTATGGACACTTAGATAGTCAGAGACAGTTGTTAAAAAACCTCCGTGGTAAGAGCTTAAATTAGCTGTCATAATAATAATGATAATAATAAAATTAAACATTATCTATGAGGCACGTTTCTCGACAATGTCACAAAAAAGGCAAACTGAAAAACTGAAAATGAAACCAGACTGGACGGATAAAATAAAACAAGGTAGAATCTGTAAAATTATTAAAATCCCATAAATGGGGGTAAAAAAAAAAAAAAAAAGTGTGAACGGACCAGAATCAGAAACTAAAAACCGAACAGCATCGAAGCGAATCATCAGATTTCCCATTTTCTGTTGGTCCTTGAATCAGTCGTCTGTGATGCAGGAAAACTTCAGTCGTGATATGTTATTACACACATATGTCATTAAAGAATTTGTCAAAAATCAAGTGTTTGTGATAAACAGATTCTGTAGAAAACAAAAAATTCTGCACTTCTGTGTGAAACCGTGAAGCCATCAGTGACTCAGCTGGGACCGACGGTTCGATGGCAAAAATTCAGAACTTTAAGCTGAACTGCAGCTAATACTGAAAAATACCGAACTGCATGTCACGAGTGTGTAGTTCAAAAAAATCTGATAATTTTCTCTAGTTTGGTTCTTTGGTAGCAGCGACAGGCCTTTCAAACATCTGTGGAAACATCTTGTAACTGTTGATTTCACTTTTTTTTTGTCTGTAAAAAAAACAACAAAAAACACAAAAATCAAAAATGAGGCCAAAGTGAGTAAAAATGTCAAAGGAGCAGAAAACGTCCAAAAACAGCTGCGTTCAAATGTTTTAACGACATTTTTAAGTTTGGTGGATAAAAACTTCCTGAAGCTTTGTCTGGTTTGTAATCTGGAGGTTTGGGTTTAATCTGAAAACTGTAAAACTCAGGAGAGGTTTAATCCATCATCGGTGTTTGTTTCTCCAGAACACTCGGGGATCGACCGCGGTGCTGGTTCAGATGTTTAAACTGTCTCGTCTCTTTATGGGGAAACAAACCAACCCTGTGCTCCTCCTGCGTCTCTTTAGAAACGTCCTCCGTCTTCACCTGGGTTCAGTTTGTTCTGCAGCAGATCAGCTCTTTAACCAGCAGAGCTTTGACCCGAGTCTGTGGCTTTAGCGGCGCTGGCTCCACTTGGTCCTGCGAGGGGGGGAGAACCGGGAGGCCTTGTGGTGACGCCGGTCTGGACCGGAGCCCTGATTTAGGAGGAAGGTTTGGAGAAAGACGCCTCCTAGTGGCTGAAATGTGAAGAGGGAGCTGCTGGTTAAAACACTCTCCATTTGCAGCTGATTTTCGCATTCTTGTGGGCGGAATTAACCGTCGCGCACTTTGAGAATCCGTCTCGTTTGACCCAGATCGAGTGAAGCGCATCCAGATGTGGACATCTGCTCAGATGTGTTTGGAGGAGGCTCCAAATCCCCCCGAGAGCTCCGACATGTGGAAACGGGGAATGTGGAAAATGCAATAAAAAATAAATTTAAAAAAAAGCAAGACAACATGAAATCAATTAGCCGCCATCTTTAAACAACTGAGCAGTTTCCAGCTCTGTTTTAAAGGAGCATTTGACATGTCGCTGCACTTTTACTGCTCATTTTAAACTCTTGGTGTTTGTACTCTGTGCAATGACAACAAAGTTTAATCTGAATATGTGCAGAAGTCATGATTCCAGTCCAGTTAGCGTGCGAACATGCAGACAGAAATAATAAAGTGTTCCTGTCACGTTTTTACTCACTGTGGCTTCAATTTCACTGCAAAATAAACTCTATGGAAACAGAACAACCACGACTAGACGTAGAGAGAGTTTAGAAATGTCCTCTGAGCAGGACGACAGTTTTTAAATTACTATTATTTATCGAACATAAATTGAAAACACCTGGACACACGGACATTTTTCCAATCCCCCACAGATGTTACTGATGCTGGAAAAACCCACTCACTCCACACACAGTCGCTGTTTTGCTGTTTGCAGCTTTGTGGAAACACGACCTGCAGTTCAGCCAAAAAAACATACAAAAATTGTCACGAATGTGTCACAACTTTTGGTTAAATGGTTTATTTTGTGCCTAATTTTTTAAATGAAACATGTATAATAACGTGCTTTTAATTAACTTTTAAGTTGATGGAACAACCGTTGAAAAATTCTGTTTTTGGGGTTTGTTGGTTGTTGTTCTTTTTTTTTTTTTTTTTTTTTTTTTTTTTTTTTTAAAGGTGGAGGATTTTCTGGGTCACAAAGCGCTTCACAAAATCTGAAAAAAAAAGCACAAATTTAAAGCAGTTAGACAAGAAAAATAACAACAACATGGCTCCCCCAAAATAAATAAAATTCACACAGACATGAAAACTTTATTTAAAAAGTTTTTAGAAGTGATTTAACAGACAGATTTATAGATGGATCTCCAGAGTTTGGGGTCGGACTGTAAACGCATAAAAGTCCTTGAACGTCAGCTGTAAAATTAATTAAAAGAAATCAGTGTGAAAATAAGCAGGGAGGCCTCGTTAGCAGATATTTATACAGTTGTGTTGTTTACACGACAAACAGGACGCGCTAACAACCAGTTCAGCTACTTACCAAAATTGAACAAATATCCTGCAACAACAACCGATCCCTGCACCGTACTTTGCATATTTACCTCTGATTTGATCTTTGCTGCATCATAAGTACTTCATGTTTTCTATGCATGCCCTTTTTTTTATTACTGTCCTTGTATACTCAGTGTTTGTTGCCTCAGCAGAGACATTTCATTGCACCGATGACTTGTTTGTTTGTTGCTGTGTTTGATGATACAACCTTGTTTTGGGGCGTATTTTAGTCTCCCGCAGCTCAGGATTGTAAAATAAACTCCACATGTGCGTCGTTGTGGGTTAACACTAAATGCAGCTCGTTTTTAGCTCCTCTGTCGCCGCAACCCTTTATTTTGTTTTGACTAATTTGAGCCAAACATAGATGAAACCGACGGCTCTTATCTCGGCCCGACGACGATGAATCTTTCCCGTCCAGACGTCGACACGCCGCCGTTTGTTGGACGGATCGGGGCTAAAAGCGGAGCTGCAGCCCGTGAACGTTTCCCCTCGTTGCCTCGCCGTGGATTCGTTCTCTGTCCCTTCCTGACCTCGCTTTGTGTTCACGTTTCCTGCCTGAAGGAAGTGAGCCGCGCTCACAGGAAACGTGACCAACCGTTTCCCTGCCTTTTGTTCCACATTCGTCCCTCCGCTCGGCTTCTCTTTTTGTGATTCAGCTTTGAGCAACGCTGTCGGTTTCGTTTACTGCTGCTCGCCTCCTCCTCGTCTCCTCCTCGTCTCTTAAAGCCTCTTTTTTTTTTTTTTTCCCATTACAGCTGATCGACACGTTTGCGTTGGAGATCGGGGAGCTGAAGAAGGAGATGGTCCAGACGTCTCTGACCGTGGACAAGGAGCCCATGGAGCTGCAAGGGTACGACCGCTTCTCATACGTTTTCCTGAACTCTTAATCCCAACTTTCTTCAACGTGACTGCTCTGGTGTTTATTCCTGATAAAACGTGAACTCTCTGAACCCCAAAACCTGCAGGAAGGGGTTTGAAAAATGGCTCAAATTGCACCATTTATCAGAGAAACTGTGAGATATTTAAAACAAAAAGATTTTAAAAGAAAATTATTTAAAATTTCTGGACATCGTCTTGCTGGAAAACTTCATATATTTCATCTAAAGCGCCTTGCGTGGTTGAAAAATTAGCTAAAGATAAAAATTAGCTGAATTTTAAATGCGTTTGCTGTAATTTTTAGTAACGTGTGTCTGGGTGACACAAAAAATAAACCGGAAAATCGTTCAAGTGTAATCATTTTGATTTAAACAACTGCTCAAATCAATTAATTTAGCTTCAGTTCTGCAGCAGTTTCTTTGAAGGAGGTACAACTGATTTTAACTGTTGTTAAAAGTCTTCACGGTAAGTGCTTTAATTAGCTTTCATAATAATAATAAACGTTATTTATGAGGCTCTTTTCTCAACAACATTGCAAAAAATACAAACATAAAAAATAAAAATGAAACCAGACCAGACGGATAAAATGAGAATGAAACTAAATAAAAACATGTAAAATCAGTAAAATTATTGAAATCCCATAAATGGAGGTTAAATAGTTTAAATGGACCAGAGCCGGAAACTGTAAAAACCGAATAGCGCCGAAGTGAATCATCAGATTTTCCATTTTCTGTTGGTCCTTGAATCAGTCGTCTGTGATGCAGGAAAACTTCAGTCGTGATATTTTATTACACATGTGTGTCATTAAAGAATTTGTCATAAATCAAGCGTTTGCGTTAAACTGATTCTGTAAAAAACAAAAAATTCTGCACTTTTGTGTGAAACCGTGAAGCCGTGAGTGACTCAGCTGGGACCGAAAGTCTGACGGCTAAAATTCAGAATTTTAAGGTGAACTGCAGCAAATAGTGAAAAATAGTGAACTGCATGTCACGAATGCAAAGTTCTGCGTTAGATAAATGTTCTGGTTACAGTTGAACCGCAGACATTAACCGCGACAGATTCGACTTGTTTTTATTACTGTAAATGTTTTATAAAATTGGCAGCATGGGCAAAAATATTAGAAGAAAAAACTTGTCATTTGGATGATGGGGCGAAAAGTTAATAAAATAAGACATAAAATCACTTTATTTGTCCCACAGAGTTACAGCAGCTAAAGTGATGATACAAACACATAGAAATTAATATATGACACAGATGCTCTCACACTATTTGTTATTTTTTTTGTAAATGTTTCATAATCTCAGCAGCATGAGCAGAAATAGACGAATGTCGATGTCAAATCATGAGTAAATCAGGATGTTTAAAAATAAGAGACGACGGTGCAAACATGAATATAGATGTAAAAAAAAAAATAAAATACAAGACCCATAAGTAACGCTGACATTGTCCAGATTCTCCCATAAACTCAAATCAGATTCCTCCTTCACCAGAGAAGTGAAGAGCTGCAGTTTCATTTCAGGACGTGCAGCTTCTCGTTTCCACCAGCAGATGGCGAACCTGTCGTGTGTTTTGTCTCGTTGTCAGGCTGGACAGCGGCGTCTACCTGCAGACGCCCCACTGCGGCGGCTCGGCGGGTGAGAGGGATTCTGGGTACGACTCCCTGCGGAGGAGGATGAGCGTCCTGGACCGGCTGACCCAGACTCACCCGGTGTGGCTGCTGCTGGCCGTCAGCGAAGACGACGCCGGCAGCATCCTGTCGAAGCAGCCTCCAGGGGTGAGGGGTCGCCGCCTCGGCACGGCAAAGTTCGAGCCGTGCTCCGAGTTTAATCGCTTTTATTCCACGACGCAGGTGTTCCTGGTCAGAAAATCGGCCGCTCTGCAGAGGAAGGTTTTGTCCGTTCGTCTGCAGGAGGATCGGTCGGGATCTCCCATCAGCCACTTCCCCGTCAGGGAGAGCCAGTACAGTGAGTAGCAAATAAACAAGAGAGTCCTTGAACTACTCATCTGGGACGGGTTCATCAAGAAATCTAAGCTTAAAGTTGCAATAGTTTATTCTGCATTTCATCTAAAGTAGTGAGGAAAGCATTTAAACTAACTAGCTTTATGTCTAAAAAACTAAAAATAAAACAGAAAGGTTCCATGTTGGGCCTTTCTCAGAACCTGCAGCTAAGTTTGAACTGTTATCTGGTTGAGCCGGCGATCCATGGACAGGGGCTGTTGTTCCCCGACGTCGTGGGTTCGAGTCCGACTCACGACCCTTTGCTGTCTCACTCTCTCACTATCCTGACTAAAAAAAAAGGCAAAAAGGCCAGAAAAAATAGTTTTAAAAAAAGATTACACAATTTATCAGAGCCAGAGATAGTAAAAAATGAAAGACGTGTTAGATTTTCAACTTTCCAACGGTCCCTGAACTACTCATCTTTAGGAAACTTCACCAAATGTAAGCTTAATATAAATATATAAAAGTATGTATTATTTAAACTATTTACAAGAACCAGCTCAGTTTGTACCAACAATAGAGATGCTACGTAAAACCTGAAAGATGTTATCTGTTAAAAAACCTCCAAGTTTACACCGTTTATGTGTCAGAAGCTGCAAAAACAAAACATCAGTGTTTTTATAAAAGAGAAAATGATCCAAATCTAAGCTTAACACTGACTTCACGTCTCCTTTAAATATTAAAAAAACAAATAAATCATTTGGTCATCGGTGCAGCCACAAATCTGTTCGTGTTCGTCTGTGACCGACATCAAGAGACAAAGATTCTGGGTTTTTGGGGGGTTTTTTTGGGCTGAGCTGCAGGCCTTGTTCTCACGAAGCAGAAAGGAGCAAATTAAAAATGTAAATAATAAACATCAACAGTAGGTGGCGTCGCTGCTGTTTTCTAGTGTTGGCTACACCGCCAAGTCTCCAAATTTTTTTTTTTCTCATATGTAACCCATCTATAAATCATGATCATTACAGTGTAGCTTCTAAACATAGGCCGCCTAAACTAGCATCGTAAATAAACTCAGAGACAAATCATACCAGCATATAATCAGACTGGATGCATTATAAACTCCACCAGTGGATCCAGATAGAAGCAGCTGCAGATGTTTCTACACTGGCCCAGAAGTCGCTTTGTGGTGGAAGAGGAACGTTTCATTGGCTCACGTTAAGTTCAAAGGCAGCTGAAGCCATTCTGCTTGGAGTCCTGGACGGTTAAAGGATATAATAACTCAAATGTAATCAAATAGTTCACATGGAACAACTCCAAGCCTGCTGTCAGATCACCTCCAGAGTGTTGTCTTGTGTTCTGCTGTACTCGCTGTAATGTGGTAAAAGTGGTCTTTCGGTTTCCTTCTGGTCCTCTGATTAACTCGAACTGTACTTTCAGTCAGAGAGTTAAATATGGTCGTTTCCTGTTCGCCTCCGCATGAAGATGAACCTGCACAAAAATGAGAAGTGAGACTGTGATCGGACTCTGCTGCATGTGTCCTTACAAAGCTTTACAGTCTCGCATTGTGCTGCTTTGTTTTGCAAACTAAATTAGCGTCTTTTTATTTTAGCAGCTTTGAAGCGTCTGCAGGCTAACGCGACGTCTTAATGTGCTGCGTTTAAGACGCTGTTTCATCCTCGTTCTGCTGTTCGACAACAGAAACTAAAAAATATAGAAATAAGAACACCTTTACCATGAATTCAGCTGTGTTAACATGTAGTTTCAGTGAGCACAGAGAGCAGGAGAGAAGCTACAGCAGCTGAATTCAGGTTGAACCAAAGCTCAACAGAAGACATGAAAACACAACAATACATCCAGACCTTGTTTGTTGGTTTAATTTAAAGTTTACATCATCTCTGAATGTCCCTCAGTGGTACGGTTACCACAGAGCACCAAAGCTAATGTTAGCCACAACAGAATCCCATAGGTGTTCAGTTCATTAGATGCTGGAAGTGCATGAAGACTTGTGTGTTCACTCTACAACCAACATCAAAACACTTAGTGAGTTTTTTTCCCCTCCCAATGCTAATGTTAGTTCTATTAATTAATTTCCTATTGTTGCGGTGACATTACCATCAGCAATAATCCATCGGGTGTTCACTTCCTCAGATGCTGGGAGTGCACAGAGGCTCTTATGTTCACTCTTGCAGCCAACAGCAGACCATTTGGTGAGTTTTACTTGTGGTTCAGGCGTTTTAGCAGAAGCATCTGTAGAAGTGACTCTGAGGCAGACTAGAGTGCATCATATCATCCACTCTTCCTTCAACTCCTCTTTGCTGCACCGACACCGCAGCTTCACTTTAAATCTGTCTGTTAGCTTTTAACAACCTCTGAACCCAAAAACCGCCACAAGTCCAGCCCTGATGCAGCAGCACGAGAGCAGCTGACCCACATCTAAAGTCTGAACCAGTCCAAGGACGTCCCCCTCCCTCCGACGGGGGCTCTTATTTCAGCAGGGAAAGTCCACAGCTGCTACGTCATCACATTCTGGCAGCAACCACCAACTCCCAACGCTGCCGCTCTGCACTTGTGCCACTGATTACTCCAATAACTTGCTTATGGAGTAGACTAAAGATTTAAAGAGAAGCTGAAACTGTGAGACGTTTAATGTAGACGTGTTGTGTGAATGCAGGTATGTAGTTACACCTCCTCACTGCTGCTCAGCAAACAAGCATGCGACGTGAAACCGAGTGACGTTCAGCAGCTTTCCGCGGCTTTCTGTGAATGTTTGCTGAAGATAAACGCATTCTCAGCAAACATTCACAGATTTAAAGAGAAGTTGCAGGAGCTGGAAAATGTGACTGCAGCCGCCGAATGTGAATTTATGACTTCACAGAAGCACATTCAGTGGACGTTTGCATTATAAAAAATTAACAATATTCTGTTTTAAGACTCTCTAATGAGACGACGTGGTTTTAAAGCTCCCATATTTTTCACTTTCACTGCCGTCATTACTCAAGCCAGTCCTCAGCCTCCTGGGTTTACAAGCTACTTATTTCTTCAGGTTTATTTACCTTCTACAGCTGCTTCTGCTGACTTTAAAATGTCTTAACCACGAACAAAACTCACCAGATGTTCTGCTGTTGGCTGCAAGAGTGAACACAGGAGTCTTTGTGCACTTCCAGCATGTAAGGAGCTGAACACCTAGTAGATTATTGGGGTTATTAATAGCAATGTCCCCACTACAATAGGAAAATCAGCTAATGGGGCTAATATTAGCATTGGGGGAAAAAAACACACTGAATGTTGTTCTGTTGGCTGCAAGAGTGAACACAAGAGTCTTCATGCACTCCCAGCATCTGAGGAACTGAACACCCAGTGGATTACTGGGGGTTTAATAGCAATGTCCCCACAACAATAGGAAAATCAGCTAATGGGGCTAATATTAGCATTGGGGGGGAAAAAACACACTAAATGTTGTTCTGTTGGCTGCAAGAGTGAACACAAGAGTCTTCATGCATTACCAGCATCTGAGGAACTGAACACCCAGTGGATTACTGGGGGTTTAATAGCAATGTCCCCACAACAATAGGAAAATCAGCTAATGGGGCTAATATTAGCATTGGGGGGGAAAAAACACACTAAATGTTGTTCTGTTGGCTGCAAGAGTGAACACAAGAGTCTTCATGCATTACCAGCATCTGAGCCCAATAAATAATAAAGTTAAATATTAATGAAATGCTACACCTGATTGCTTGTTGCACTAAATTTATTATAAATTTTGTATTTGAGCTCTTTTTTTATTTTTTATATGCTTCATTATTAAGACACAATTTAATCCCAACAATAAAAATGCTAACATCGCTGACGAGGTTGGACGTACTTTGCACTGCAAGCGAAATGATTTCTAAAACATTTCTGAACGTGTGTGTGCTTTGTTTGCCTGCAGCCTTCTCTCTTGAGGGATCTGGGATCAGCTTCGCGGATCTGTTCCGCCTCGTCGCCTTTTACTGTATCAGCAGGTAAATCACCAGCACCTCTATGCACGTTTTTTATTTATTTTGATTTCTATCCAGCGTCTTTGTTGCTGCCGTTGCTGTGTGACGATGACCGGACGGTGATTCGAGGATGGAAATAACGTTTGTCGAGTAAGCAGCGTGCCCGGAGCTCTCACTTCTGGTTTTGTCTCGTGCCAGACGGCGAAATTGTTGTGCTGCAAGAAATCCTCGACGCATCAACAGACTCTGCTGCAGGGATGAAACAGGCGTCCAACATTTCACAAGTGCACCGAGTGTTTCTGGAGTTGCATGTAGAAGCCTCCTGTCCTCGTGGCATCATCACGTTTGCTGCAGGACTTTATATCTCTAATGGGGTTAAAATCAATTCAAATGTCCATCCATTGTCTATACACCTTAATCCTCACTAGGGTCATGGGGGGCTGGAGTCTATCCCAGCTGACTCAGGGTGAAGGCAGGTTCACCTGGACAGGTAACCAGTCTATCACAGGGCTACACTTAGAGACAGACAACCAAGCACACTCACATTCACACCTACGGACAATTTAGAATCACCAATTAACCTCAACATGTTTCTGGACTGTGGGAGGAAGCTGGAGAACCTGGAGAGAACCCACGCTGCACGGGGAGAACATGGAGACTCCACACAGAAAGATCCCAGGTGTCCTCACCGGCGACCTTCTTGCTGTGAGCCAACGGTGCTAACCACCGATCCACCTTGCAGCCCCCTAGCTAGCGTCAATAGTGGAAAACCACAAACACACCATCCTCACTGTGAAGCATGGTGGCGGCAGCATCATGATGTGGGAAAACGACAACAGCGGTGAAACTGCAGAAGTACAAACTGGTCAAAAATGTGCAGAGGAGTCACATTGTTTGACTTGTTTCGCAGCATATTTAGTGTGTTTCTCAGCGTTTACCTCCTGTTTCTGCTCCTCGTAGAGACGTTCTGCCCTTCACGCTCAAACTCCCGGAAGCCATCGCATCCGCCAAGACGCAGAAAGAGCTGGAGGAGGTTTCTCAGCTCGGAGCAGGTACGAGTTTTATTGCTTCGTTATGTATTAAACAACCACGCTGGAGGTTTTAAGGTTCACATAATGTCACCTGGAGCAGAACTGCGAGCAGAAGCTGTTTGAAAGTCATTCAGAGAGACTCTGATTGAACGTTTAATTAATTTGATTTATCTTCTGGAATGTGTTTGTTTTTGCTGTCAGCTGACCCTTTAATGTCAGACTGACCTTGATTTCTGGACAGATAAGAGTTTGTACAAGTACAGCACGATGCAGTAAAAATACTCCAGCATGAAAAAAAAATCCTGTTTTCATAAAAGCACCAAAGTATTAGCAGCAAAGTGTCGTTAAAATATCTCATGTTGGAGCTGCTTTCTGTGCAGTTTTATATGCAGAGACGGAAGATAAATGTGAAAAATGTGATTAAAGGAAGACGTTCTGATGCACAAATGTGGGTTTTTTTGCAGAAATATCGGGTCGTTTTGTAGAAACAGTCGTTTATTCAACCTTTAATTACACTCGTGATATATTGAGCCTCATTAATGATGTAAGAAAATAAAAGATGTCGTCGCATAAATAAGAAAATTGGTCAATAGAAATATTAAAGGCAACGTTACTGAAATGATAAAAACATTAGTTGGTGTATTTAGGTTTTAAAAATGAATGAATTTAGAAAAAAAAACATCTGGAAGTGAAATGGGATTGAAATGAAAAAAAAGAAAAACGTTTCTTAAAACTAAAACAAGAAAATAAGACGTTGACACATAAATAAGACCCTTAAATGATGAAAATATTAAAGTTATCAAAATTATGATAACATTAAATTGGAGCGTTTAAGTTTTGAGGCCAAATTAATTCACAAAAAAAAAAAAACTTCTGCAAGTAAAATACGACAGAATTAAAAACCTGAAGGATAAAAATGAGTCCAGCTTTAGATTCTTCTACAAGAAGAACCAGAAATGGTATTTAAGGAGCTCGTTATGTTATGTAGTGGAGTGAAAAAGTAAAGTATCTCCCACTGAAGTGTGGATGAAGTAGAATAAACAGGAAATACTCAAGTCAAAACTGTACTTATAGTTGAGTAGCTGCTACAAACGCAGATAAAGGCGGCGGTTTTGTGCGTTTCCGGCTTTCGTTTGCTGCACTGGTGAGCTCTGGCTGGTTATTCTGGGCCGTGGAGCTGCTGTGAGTCAGCTGCACTGGAGGCCTGCGACATAACTGAGCGCTGACTGTGCAGCCGGAGGGAGTGTCGGCTGCAGATCTGCGCTGCGCAAACACACACACACGCCATCGTCACGCCACATTCACGCACTGAAACACACACACAGAGCTGAAGGACGACCTCTGACTTTGTGTTCCTGGGAAGTGACGTGCTCGGCTCTGCTCGTTTGTGTTTGTGACGTCGAGGAGAAGATCCGCTTCCAGGGAACTCTCATCCGCCGGCTTCTTGTAAAAGACAAACCGACTGCGATGTGGAGTCTGTGGAGAACGAACAGTTTCAGAGATGTTTGCCTCCCCAGAGGGCGAGGAGGCGGTTAGATTAGATTAAATCAGATTAGATTAGCTGGTATTGTTTGGAGAAATTCATCTCAATCCTGTAGTGAACGAGCCCATATTCTGCACTTTAGCACGTCTGTTAGTCGACTAGAAGATGTTTTCATGCTTTGTGTGTGTTGCTGCAGCTCCTCTGTCTGAAACACAGAGCTCCTGTCGCTACTTGATTTTATTTCAAAACGCATATTAATGTATACGGTGGCCCAGAAGTGTCACAAGAAAACAAAAGCCACAACACAACACAATAAGCCACAACACAACCAAATTAACCACAACACTACAAAATAAGCCGCAACACAACACAACGGTTGCGACGGAAGTTGATTTTTTTAACCGGAAGTTATGCTATGAAGTGCGCAACGCCACGAAGTGGGCAGAAGCCGGAGATTGTTGGAAACAACTCGAAAGTAAGTAAAATACTGATTGTAAATAACGTTTAATAATTTCGGTATGCGCTACTACAGTTGTTGTTAACTTACTTTCGAGTTGTTTCCAACAATCTCTGGCTTCTGCCCACTTCGTGGCGTTGCGCACTTCACAGTATAACTTCCGTTTTTAAAAAAAAACAACTTCCATTGCAACCGTTGTGTTGTTGCGTCTTATTTTGTAGTGTTGTGGTTAATTTGGTTGTGTTGTGGCTTTTGTTTTGTTGTGACACTTCTGGGCCACCGTACATGTACATTTATGAGAGTGTTTCTCAGCTTTAAGTAACCAAACGTACTTTGGCGTGTGAAAGGAAAACATGGTGGAAGGTGGAAAGAAAGACGACTTTGAGATGATCTGGCTCTCGGCAAACAGGAAGTTCTCCAGATTTACAGGTTTATAATTTTAGTTTTTGGTCTGCTTTAATATGTTTTAGTGCTCTAAGTGTTTTTTATCGTACGTCGCTGCAGCAGCTCCGTCTAAAACGCTCCATTTTAGCTCTTTAATGTTGTTTTTTTACAGCTTTCACCTGGTTGGAATTAGAAGAAGTTTGTGTCATATTATTGCAGCATATACTTAAAAGCACTTTATCGCTTCAGGTGACTAAACCCGCTTGATCACGTGGGGGGAAAAAAACATGGTTAAGGTTTTAAAAAAACCTTTGTCGCTTTTACCTTAAGATGCCTCAGAAATGTTTGGAATCAGGAAAGATTTGTGTTCATGGTTCAGTTTCAGTTCATTCATGAGAGCTTTTATCAGCTTTAGGCGACTGAAGCTACTTGGTTATGTGGGGAAAATAGATTTTTTTCAGTATTTATTGGATGGATTGGATGCTTAGTAGTTTATAATCATATTTTTGTGGTCTCATAGAACATGTTTACACGCTAACGTTCATAAAAACACTTCTCAAACGCTTCATTTTCTGCTTTAAGATGATTTTTCGGCCTGGATTTTTTATTCCAGCTGTGTTGTCATTTGGCTTCATGGTTGCACCAAAAAAAAAAAAGGATAATTTTTAGTTTTTTACAAATTCTGTTTGATGCAATCCATTCAAAAAAAGAAGATTCTTTCTGTTTTTCGCAGTTTCTGGCTCTGACAAATGTTTGTTTGTTTTTTCCAAAGACAGCGTGCAGATCCTCTTGCAGATAATTGCATAACTATCGGCAACAAGCAGCAAAATAAATTAAATCAGGAATAAATTAGTGGATGGAACCAAACAGAGCTGATATAAATGAGCTATAAGGAGCTTCTACTCTGCCTCTGCTGACGGTTTGCTGTTCCTACTGAGATAAAAGGGAACTGATGAGTCATGCTGCTCTCTGGTCAGTGGCTGCTACATGCGCTTGGCGTGTTGGTTTGCCGTGTTGCTGTGCAGACGGACGCCGCGGCGTCAGGTGCTCGCCGCTCACATGGACTCGCTAACAACGCCGCGGACACGTCGAACCACCAGCTGCAGGAGTTTGTCTATTTTTAGGCTGCAGCGCTGCTCATTATTATTATTATTGCTTCAGCTGCATGTTTCTGCCTCGGACACAGTGGAAGCTTTCTTTTTTCTTTTTTCTTTTTTTATTACAGCAGAGAGTCAGAATGAGGAATTTTCTTGCCAAATAGCTGAAAGACAATAAGATGATTCAGCGGATAAACGAGAGCACATGTCAGGAGACACATGAGGACAGAAGAGAATCGTGTTTGTCGAGTTTAAAGACATGAAAAACGAGTTTAAAAAGACAAACAAGGGCGTGAAAATCACATTTGAATGAAAGCAACTAAGTTTTCGTAGCAAAACGTAGTTAAAGTATTAAAGTCCTGGTTTGGTCCCACTGACTGTTGTTAAACTCTTTTATGAGCATTTTTATGTACAGAGACAGAAGATTAATCTGAAAAACTTGATTAAAGGAAGAGAAAAGAAGCAAAAACGAAGCAAATCTGTTTTTAGTTGATTGATTTTTGCTGATATTGAGTCATTTAAACTGGTCTGAGGCCTCTTTATCAGTGAGTTAGAGAATAAAAGATGTCGGCGCAAAACCTGGACAGGAAATGAATAATAATAAATAAATAAATAAATAAAAAAAAATTCAAAGTGTTAATAAGCAAATACGTTAATTAAAAAAAACATCTTGAAGTGAGATTCACTGGAATTAAAAAGGATAAAAATGAGTCCAGCCTTTGATTGTTTTTATGTTTAAATGTTAAAAACCACTTTTTTTCCTCTCATTACTGCAGCATCTCTGTTTGAAATACTCCTCATACTCAGCTCCTGTGTCTTTTCTACTTTAATAGTATTTTTTGCAGCATTCAGCGACTGGAGCGCCTCAGAAATGGTTGGAAATAGGAAAAGTTTGTCTGTAAAAGTGAAGTGTGCGTCCCAAAATGCATTCTAAAGTCAGTGTTTTCCAGCTTTTGGCAACTAAAACTGCTATTTGCATTTAAAGAGGCCAAATTCTGCACATTCACAGGTTTATTATTGTATTTTTTAGGTCTACTAGAAGCGTTTAGATGCTTTATTGTTCAAAAAACACTTAATTTTACACTTTTTGTGTATTTTAGCTCCGGTCTCGACTACTTTAAGAGTATTTTTTTGCAGCATTCAGCTTCTAGAACATCTCAGAAATGGTTGGATGTAGGAAAAGTTGATGTTTATGCATTCTGAAGTTTAGTTATTAGAGAGTTTTTTAGCTTTTGGCAACTAAAACGACTCAATTTTGTGGAAAAAAACATCGTCAAGTTGGAAAGAAGAACAGCTACAAGATTATTTGCATCTTTAAGCGAAGCCAATGACATGTAACGCAGGTTTAAAGAGCCCAGGTTTGCACATTTACAGGTTTATTATTGTTCAAATAAACACCTCAGTTTTCTTAGACGCGCTCCATGTTAGCATTTTAGCTCATTTTAATATTACTTTTGCAGCATTCAGCTACTGAAGAACTGTCATGTTTCCCTGCAGATCAGCTGTCAAACGTCTAATCTTCCACAATGTTCTATCCACTGACTCCACAGCTCGCCCTGTTCACTTACATACACTCAGTCTCTCTGGAAGTGAAACCTGATGGGATTTAAAACCCAACATGTCCTCAGGATTAAACTAAAAAAAAAGAAGAAGCCAACGTGCAGCTGTGCATTGTGCTTTTAAGAGCTTCTCATTATTCAAGCAGAGAATCGTGTCCGTGGAGTTCAAAGGCATGAAAAAAAAACCCAAAATAGAAATCAAAGAGCAAAGCAGGAGGAGCCACAGAGAGAAGGAAAGGAGTGGAGGAACTGGAACAGTGTGTTGGGTTCCTCCCACTCTGTGATTAAGGTCGGGCGACTCCCTCTGTGGGTGTCGACGTCCAGCCGAGCAGAGCCCAGAGGCTGAAACCCGCTTCAGCCACACGAGACACGAGCAGGCAGGCAGGCAGAAAAACCCTGAAAACACCGGTGAGAGAGCGCTGCTGGTTTCCAGCTGAACTTCCAGATGTTTTCTGAGGATTTTCCCTCTGAAGGAATCTTTACTTTGTGTGGCTTCAAGTTGTGTTTTGTTGCTGAGCTTCCAGCTGCTGTGTGAGGATCTTCCCTCTGTGGCAGACTTCACTTTTTGTCGCCTTAAGTTGTTTTTTTTGTGTTCTTCTGTTTTGTTGTTAAATTTCCAGTTATTTTTTTAGAGGATATTCTCTCTGTAAGACTCTTGGTTTTGTGTCGCCTATAGCTGTGTTTTGTTGTTGAACTTCCAGAGTTTTTCTGAGGATTTGACTTTGTGTAGCCTACAGTTGTGTTTTTTGTGTTCTTCTGTTTTGTTGTTGAATTTCCAGTTATTTTTTTAAAGGTTATTCTCTCTGTAGGACTCTTGGTTTTGTAAAGTTGTGTTTTGTTGTTAAACTTTCTGAGGATTTTCCCTCTGAAGGAATCCTGACTTTTTGTCGCCTTAAGTTGTGTTTTTTGTGTTCCAATCTTCTGTTTTGTTGTTGAATTTCCAGTTATTTTTTTAGAGGTTATTCTCTCTGTAGGACTCTTGGTTTTTTCTAAAGCTGTGTTTTGTTGTTGAACTTCCAGAGTTTTTCTGAGGATTTGACTTTGTGTAGCCTACAGTTGTGTTTTTTGTGTGTGCAGGCTGCTGTTCTCCGGTCGCACCTCCAGCTGTTCCCTGAGGATATTTCCTCTGTAGGAATCTTGACTTTGTGTCGCCTAAAGTTGTGTTTTTTGTGTTCCAGGCGGCTGTTTTGTTGTTGAACTTTTAGCTGCTGTGCGAGGCTAAATATCTTACATTTGTGTAGCTTAAAGTTGTGTTTTTTTTATGTGTATGCAGGCTTCTGATTTGTTGTTAAATTTCCAGTGATTTTTTGAGGATATTCTTTCTGTAGGACTCTTGGCTTTGTGTCGCCTAAAGTTGTGTTTTTTATGTGTATGCAGGCTTCTGATTTGTTCTTAAATTTCCAGTTACTTTCTGAGGATAATTCCTCCGTAGGACTCTTGGCTTTGTGTCACCTAAAGTTGTGTTTTCTTGTTGAACCTCCAGATGTTTTCTGAGGATATTCTTTCTGTAGGACTCTTGGCTTTGTGTCGCCTAAAGTTGTGTTTTGTTGTTAAACTTCCAGATGTTTTCTGAGGATATTCTCTTTGTAGGATTTGTGTCGCCTAAAGTTGTGTTTTTTATGGTTTGTTGTTGAACTTGCAGCCACTCTGTAGGAATCTTCACTTTTTCGTTACCTAAACTTGTGTTTCTTGTGTCTTCCAGGCTTCTGGGACTCGTCACTGTGCTGCCAACGCCGCTCCTCCCCTCGCCCCTGCCGCCCCCTGAGTCGGACCCTCAGCCCCCAGCGCACCACCAGGAACCGAGAGGCCGAGGGCTCACCGGGCCGCCACGCCGGGTCTCACTGCGACAGCGCTCCCCCCACGCTACGATCCAACGCGCCGCCGCCGTCCTTCCACCTGGAGAGACGACACTCCAGCGGGCCTCTGTGCTTCGTCAACCCACTGTTCCTCCAGACTCACCATCACCGGCATCGGCGCCACCGCGAGGACGAACCGTCTTCGCCTGATGCAGAGGAGTCAAAGCAGCCGTTAACCGGTGACCAGATCAAACTGAACGGCAAGTCGCGGTCGCCTCCCCCTCGTCCCCCTCCCCCCCGCTCGATGCCACGCCGGCGTCCTGCCCCGCCTCCGCCCGGACCTCCGGCGACCACCACCAGACCCAAGAGCATGCCCGAGGCGGCGGTGGCGTCCAAGCTCTATTCCTCCACCAAGCGCCCAGCACCCGCTCGACCAACGATGGGCATCAAGAACAGCAGCCCATCCAAAACCGCTCCGATCCCGGTGCCCTCGCACCCGCCGCCTCCAAGGCCCAAGAAGCCCGATCTGGAGGCCCACCGCTGCCACATCGCCCTGGATGACGAGACCATCGCCAAGGCTTTGTCTCAGGCTAAACTTCCGCCCTGCCGGCCTCCACCTGCTGCCCCTGAAGGGTCCAGTCCTGCAGAAAGGGGACGCCAGCGGCTCAGCGACATGAGCATGTCCACCTCGTCCTCGGACTCTCTGGAATATTCTCAGTCTCCTGGATTCTCCCTGGGACTCGCCCCGAGCCCGTCGCACCACCTGAACCACCACCAGGACCCGGTGGAGGACAGCAGCGAGGAGGACGAGGACGTGGAGGAGGAAGAGGAGGAAGACTACGGCGTCGGGCTGGAGGCCGACCTGGAGATGCGTCTCCGTTCGTCGTTTAAGGCTCGGCGGCGGCGGGTCGGCGTGAGCTTGGGCGGAGGGTCCTTCATCCTCCCCAGAGCCCTGAAGGGACGCTTCCGGAAGGTGAGCGGGATGCTGAGCTCGCTGATGACGCCGGAGAGGCGGGCGGTGAAGAGGATCGCCGAGCTGTCCAGGGATAAGAGCTCGTACTTCGGCTCCCTGGTTCAGGACTACATCGGCTTCGTGCAGGAGAACCGAAGCTGCCACACGTCAGGGATGGACTTCCTGCAGACCCTGAGGCAGTTCATGACGCAGACGAAGGCCTACCTTCGGCAAAGCTCTGAACTCGACCCTCCGATAGAGTCGCTGATACCCGAGGACCAGATCGGTGAGTCTCTCCAACGTTTTCTGACTTGGTGTCGTGTCTTTTAGGGCAGGGGGTCCCAACCAAAGTGGGGGTCGTGAGATGCCAAGGGAGAGTTGCGAGATGATTTTCAGGCCATTTTCAAAACTGTTCTCATTTACAGAAATAGTGGACTACATGGTGTGTTCGCCAATTTCTACTAGTGTCTGAGTTCTTAAAGGTTAATTTGGTTCACTATATTGTTCACTATGAAATACCCACAATGCGTCCTGTACAACGTTTTCTTATGTTTCAGTCACCTCTGGGTATCGTAGGGGTCGCCAGTGTCTGGCACTGTTAGTCTGGGGGTCGCAGGCTTAAAAAGTTTGGGAACCTGTTTCAGGGATGAACCGAAGATCAGCCTTGAAGGTTATCAAACAAAATGCTCTACTTCAGGTCCGATGCAGCCTCCTCTCTCTGTCTGTCGTCTCTCTCAGAAATTTCTGTCGAACAGAAAAACCTGAACAAGAAACGAAAGTCATTGCCACAAACCAGGAAGTTAGCTCTTCTCATAGTGGCTAAGGCTACGCTAGTGTCTAGTGGCTAAGTTAGAAGGCAGCCATAGTTCAACCTGAGACAGATTCTGGAAAACAATAATTAATATTAAGATCTGGACCTTAGTGGGCAGTAAAAGTGACAGAACAGAGAAAGATTAAGAAAATAGAGAAGAATGCAGGAGACAAACTGATCAATCTCAGTCCATTCTACATAAACAGAGGAGATAATATAATCAGTCCCATTTCTATTTTACATATTCAATTATAGTCATCCTCATTAATGAAGAAGCCTGGTGATGAATGACAGGTTCTCTGCTGTCACATGCTGTTAAACATTTAATGTGTATCAACCCTAAAAAAAAACCCATATCAGTCGATCCCTAGCGTCTCTACATGCATGTTTGTGATGTTCCAGATTGCTTGGCAGGTTAAACCAAGGGAAGGATTTCAAACTGGCTTCATTCATCGACCAGCGCCCAAACCTGCCACCATGTTGGGACCCAGAGCTTTCCATATCACTGCGCCTCATTACTGGTGTTGAGTTACAGAAATGCCACCGTGCTGCGTCCCACCGAGTTATTCTTGGCCTGTGCTCGTTGGTAGAATCTCAGAGTGCAGCCGAGGCCGACTCTAAAGGGCAAGAGTTTCATTTAACTGTGCTTTTTTTTTATTTTATTGGGACTTTGAGTATTAATTAATCAGATGGTTTCTGATTTAAGGCAGGCAAAGTTCCCGCTTTAACATTTGAAAAACGTTTGTTGCAGCTGAAAAAAGGGTTTCGCAGAAACGTGGCGACGAAATCCTATCAGCAAATGTAATTAAATCCGTCTGTGTGCTCCGCTGAGGTCGTGACAACCGAGAAAGCAAAGTTTGCACATATGAATCGCTCTATCAAAGGGATGCTTCATTCCAGTCGGATTACTGCGAGACTCGATTTGCATGAATATGTCAGCATGTCTTTGCACACATCTCGGGGCCCTTGTTCATTGTAAACAATAACAGCAAAGCCTTGTTCGGAGGCAGAACTGATCCTTTTCTCATTGTGCGAACGGACCGCCAATAAAGAGGCTCACAAATGTTCCCTTTGGAGGCGGAAACAGTGAATAAACGTGAAGGTGTTTCGTTCAGCAGCGATGTTACAGACGTGAGGCCTGAGGGTCATTTAAGTGAGCGTATTTCTGCTCGAGCTCCTTTAAAATATGGATATTTACAAAGACATCTGTGTTGCCTGTTGACCTACCTTGTACAGTCACAGTTTGATATTTGTTTGAATGACAAAATCTCAGGAACTATTAAAGACAAAAGCCTGAAATTTTTATTGTTGTTTCCCACCGTGTCATTGGCTCAGAATCTGCAATGTTGGACAAATAGATCAAATAATCTCTAACTGTGGGTGAGTTTAAATATGAAGTCCCATATTTGGGCTCGTACAAAAAACACGCAGGAGTCACCTCATTTCTGAGCCACATGTGACAATAACACAAACTACAACATATAGAATGATTTTGTTGTGGTGCATGAACCTGGTTTGCAGCAACCTTGTTGTGTGCTTTTGTGTCATTTCTTTGTTAATTATCACTGCATTAAATCATTAAAATGGCGTCGGCGCAGTCGGACCAAACACAAAGACCTGTTGTGAGGTTTTAGGGGTCATTGTTTTCATGCCGTCACATATATTTAATGATAATCTTATGTGAGCAGGACTTTAGTGGGAAATGTATTCACGTGATCGCTGCGGAAATGGTTGAATAGGATCAAAATGGATTATCCTCCTTGTGTTTCATTTGGGATAAACTTCAAGTCTGAGGTCACAGCTGAAAGTGTATATTTATAGGAACTGCTGAACCCGTAAACATCTCTTCCGGTAATTAGCCAGGTGATTCACTGAGCTGAGTACATGGTGGCCCAATTTAGTGAAAATGAGAATTAATCCTACTCATCTTTGATGTATAGAACTGGTATAGATGTCATCCTGATTAATTCACAAAGAAATGACACAAAACTACGTGACAAGTCTCATCCAAACCAAGGTTTATGAAAGTAATGCCCATTATAATAATAATGGTAATTAAAACAATCTTGTAATTGGGTCTAATTTTCTACCAGTGTTTGTGTTTTTGTGGCACAACTTGTCAAACCTGCTCAATCGGTTCTGTAGGTTCAACGAAAACAACTCATTTTCATTTTTGCGACCAAGTATTTCATACTGACGGGTTTTCTACACGTTTATTTTGTATTATCGTGACCTGCAGCGACATGTGGTTCAGAAAACATCATTATTTGACTTCTACAATATCATTTTATTGATGCAGCTTTTCATGACTGATTAATTAAAAATATATATTTCATCTCACCCGCAGTCAGACATTATTTGAGCTACTTGTTCAATATTACAGATTCTGAATCAATGACATGATGAGAAATAACAGTGAGAATCTCAGGCTTTTATCTTTAATAGTTGCTGAGATTTTGTCATTTAAACCGCCTCAAAAATCAATGTGCAGATTTATCAATGAAAAATTTCACAAATACTATTTTAAGGAACAAGACTCAAAAGCAAATCAGAGACGGTCGAGCAGATTTAGATGGAAAAACCCGTAACGTTGGAGCCCACAGTGTCGCTGACGTCATGCTGCAATCCCACAAAATGTGTTTGTTTTTTTTTAAAAGGAGAAGTGAGCAAAGCTGCCTGGTGACTGTCCTGGTGTGTGCAGAGCGTTTACAGGAAGACTTCCGGAGTGTTTATGGTCGGTGCAATATGTCGCATTCGACTACGAGGTCAAGCAGCAGAGCAGCGAGGTGTTTGTAAAAGAGGTGTGACCCTGAGTCAGTAGAGGCGATGTGTACGAAGAGGAGGAGCCTTCATCTCTTGGCTGTAAATCAGTAAATAAGGAGGTTTGAAGTTTGTTTCTCCTCGCAGGCTGTCCGTTAGTTTATTGCAGTTGAAGGAAGCCTTTGAACAGGTTGCGGCCGAGATAAAACCCAATAACAAACGTTGCCTGATATACAAAGGAAATGAGCCTTTTCTGGAAGCGATCAGGAAGTCCAAAGTCAAGAAACTCCTCCTTATGTCCACATGAGGATCTGGCGGATTCCTCCAGCCCCCTTGGTGATGATTTGTTTGTGTGGGCAGGCTGCAGTAAACGACAAACCTTTACCTGAGGTGACCCACGATGCTCGGCTCCGCCGCCGACTGAGCTGCTTTATTCTAAGTGCCGGTGTGTTGCTTCACTGACTCACCCCGAAAGCAGCAAAATTCTCCGTAAAGCCTCCTGTACGTGCATGCTCGTTTATTTACGCTCTTGCAAAACGTACTTTGCAGCCCGTTGCGTAATCACGAAGATGCCTGGAGGCTGGGGATGCCGGTGCTGCATGAATGGCTGCGTCAGCGATGCCGGGGGAACAACAGCACTGGGTTTGTGGGATCGTCGGGGAGATGATTTGAAGAGCATGTACGTAGGTCTGAGCCACAGAAGGAGCCATTGTGGTGGTTTAACTTTTCAGCGTGTGCCAGCTGAATGAATGAACAGAGCGCTGGATCTGGTTCCAGGTAGCTGAACGTGTCGAGGTCAGATTCTAACAACCAGTGACTCTTTAACTCAGGCTGTATCCCAACAGCAAATCTGTAATCTACCAGTTAGAGCCTGACTTTAAGCCTCTGAACCTCAAGCAAGCAGCTTCTGGCTGTTGAAGCTCGACTACAATCATAAAGATTCATCCAAAATTACTGAAAAAATGAGTTTGAAATGCCAAAGAATTGTCTGAAATGACTTTTCTTTCAAATGATTAGACTTGTTTTGGTTAACCTGTTGAACTTTTGGCTTTTTTTTTTGGCTTTGTCTCGTTTTCTACTGGCTCTACATGCTACAGACATTTTACTATTTCTATTTTTCATTTGCTGTCTGTGGCCTACAGTTCAGATGAAAAATCCCTGAATTTTTCCTCACACGCCTGTTGGTCACAGCTGACTCATTAATGACCTCCTGGTCGCGCCAACAAGTTTTGTATTTTTTGTTTTTTGCGGAACGCATTTATTTTTGGCCATTTTTTTGTGGGGCATTTTCTTGGAGGTAGTTTTTTTTTTTCGATGAAGCGGCACGTTCAAGGGCTGACGCAAAGTTGAGGTTCTGTTTTTACAGTTTCTGGTTCTGATAAATGGCGTCATGTTGGTTCATTCAGAGTTGATGCAATTCTACATTTTAAAAGCGCTTTTATTATAAATTATATATGTCAATCTAGAAGGAATGACTGGATGCAGAATCCGTTAGTTGGGCTGTAAATCATCACTACTGTGGAGTTTAAATAAATCAGACCTCCATTAGGCTGGACCGGTCCAAAGTTGTGAAAATGCGGGGGTGTTCTAAATAATAATGGATTGTTATTGTTTCGAATAATAATCCTGGACTGCTGTTGATGCAGAACTTTTCTCCTTGTAGATTGTACAGCCAATTAAAATGTTTTCTGATCTACTATCTGTGAGTTTACATTTTCAACATCCCAACGGCAACCCTGATAATTTCACGTTTTGCCAAGGATGCTAGTTTTTTGTTTTGCCATTTTTTTGTGCAAATGTTTCACCAAATCACTTCAACCTGACAGCGTTGGGAATGGGGCACCGTTGCTGCATCCTGGGCTTAGCTCCGCCCACCATGATTGCGTTTGGTTTCAAGAAATGCAACCAAACCTGAGCGGTTTTTTTTCCTCCCTACAGCAGAATAATAATGAGGTGGCTGTAGGATGTAGTTAGGCTTCATTAACACTGTTTATTGTATATGAATATCTTTGAGAGCTTGACTTTAGTCGTTGGTGATTTGCTACAGAAACAGAATCACTAAATTCTTCTAAATAAATTCAACAGTTGGCAGGACAAAGCGAATTATTACCAACAAATGGTGCCACATTACAGGAACGTTTCTGCAGACGACATGTTTAGCCGTTAGCCGTGGGAGCTACGTTAGCTCCGTGTGGGAGTTTTCACATGATACGCTGGTTGCTGTTTACATCCCGTCGCTAGCCTGGCAACCGTCATGTGACGCCAGCCGCTCCGTCACCACGAGACTCCGCACTGTGCAGCCACTGTCCTCTTCTACTGTAAAAACTTTTTACGATGTTCTCGTACTGGAGCGACTGTTTAATCTGTTTCCAGAGCAATATGTTCCACCGTGGACGTCCCGGTGCCAGGACCGGACTGTACCACTTATTAAAACCCGACCGCAGACGTTTCTGGAAGGTCGCGGAGCGTGAAGAGGCCGCCTGGTACTGCTTGGACTGAAATGGGTGCAGCAAAGTTGTTGTGCTTTCACTACAAATGATGGAGTTGGAAGTTTTTACAGCCAGTTCAACGACCTCGGTGTCAGCGACTCTCCACGTTACAGTTTTAATTGTTGGCGAGTAAAAACATCAGCTTTTGCAGAGCTCACTTTGTTTTAGATTTATTGCATTTCAAAATCCTCCCGAGTGTCTCCGATCCGTAGAGCCCAAGTTTGTTCGTCACACTTTTGCAGCTGTCATTGAATTCGGGGATGTTTTTCAGGTGGGGATATTTAAAAAATAGTCCAGTTCTTATGTGGTTAAGGCCAAATCTGCGAAGCACATCCGAACTTTCACAGTTATGTGGGTCAGAATGAAGATGTTTTCGGGTCGACACCCTTCAATGATCTCATTTCCAGACACCAATGACTCCTCAGAGATGTGAAAAATGCTGATATATTAGATTTTGCATGTGACAAAGTGTTTTTATGGAGAAGCTGTTGAGACGTGCTGGTTTAATGTATCACAACTTTATAAGTCATTTGACAAAAATCTGTTTTTATGCGACAAACAAACTGAACTAATGCATTGAATTTGTCATCAGACAAATATGTATAAAACTTTCTTGAATCGCAAGTTTAATGCTTTTGAACTGAATTTAAAATAAGCTTGTAAGTTCTAGGTAAATAGTGTGAATAAGCTTTACTACTAAATGCCTTTTGCAGTTTGATTGTGTGGGTGTCCAACAGTCTGAATGTCAAGATCAGGATTTATGATCATGTGTAGGTGTTTTGAGATCATTACCGTGTGGTAACGTGTCTGGATCTTTTCCACTCAACTACTTCACGTTCACTGGAACTGCAGCGTTTATTAAACTTACTGATAGTTTCAGTTTTGTTTGTCAGTGATGTTTCGCAACAGCCAGTGACACATTTTCAGTTGTAAAATATTACTCATGTGTTTGCTGGAAGAATGAATAATGTCCTTGTGCGCCGGTTTCTCATTCACCTGTGTGTGTTGTTGCCTTCTGCAGACCAGGTGCTGGAAAAGGCCATGCACAAGTGCGTCCTAAAGCCTCTGAAGAGCGTCATCGAGGTGGCTTTACATGACTTCCAGGTGAGAGAGAAGTTAAACCCAGCAGTTTCTAAGTGTTTATTTTTGCTCCCGTCACATTTTTGCTCATTTTTCACTGTAATATGAAGTCCTGCACGACAACACAGAAGTTTAATTTCTTTAATTAGTTGTTTTTTTACTAAAAACTGAACAATAACTGTAATTGACACATCCAACATTTCTCCAAGTGCCCCAACAATGGTCACTCCGCGTACTATGTTGTCAGTATTTTACTATTTAAGTTTTTACATCGTCTACAAACTGGACATTTCTCGCTCAATGCTTGATGAAACAGGTTTCATCATGAAATTAGAAGAATTAATGCCTGCATGTTAACGATAGAGCCGACGTTAGCATGTGGTTAGCCTAGCCTAGCATGAAGACTGGAAAAACATCATTAACCGTCTGAACCTCCCAGGAGTTTAGGGCTGTGCTGGAAACAGGACGTCAGTTTTGATCTCCGAATATCCGTATTCGCCACCACTGCATGGCGCCCCCAAATATTTGGGATGTTCGTCATTAATTGGGGCTGAATATCCGCTATACGGGAGTTTCTTAGATTGTTTAGTTGACATAAAGTTTAAGACACCTGGAATGAATGTACACTTTTTTTTTTTTTAACATGACGGAAGGTGTCACCAAAAAAAAGATGCTTTCACATACGTTACACATTTGACTATTCGGATAAATCTTTACAAACAAAGCATTTTCACACGACTCTGCACATGAACTCTAACACGTTTCATCGTGCTGTATCTTCCAACTCCTCTGTATGCTGTTTTTGAGCCATGCTGCATTTATTGTATTGATCCAATATGTTTTATTTTCCTCTCATTTTCTGTAATTTGTCTCCACCTTATTTATCTCTGTCTGTAAACACACCTGCAATTCAACCCCCAAAGAATTTTCACTGAGGAATGTCAATTTTGTTTGTTTTTTTTACAGAATCTTGTGCACTGTGGTGATTTAGTTTTTGGCAAATTTCAAAATAAGGCATAAATTAATAAATTGTGATGAAATATCTCAATTTTTAAGCTTAGATTTGGTTATTTTCCTGAAATTAAACCACACATCGTGCATGATTAGCTCAAGGAAAGTTGACAATTCTTCATGTTTTTACATTTTCCTGCTCTGGTAAATGATGTGATTTTGCAGATTTTGTTTTTTTTTTTTTTAAGATAAGATGCCTTTCAAACCTGCTCAGAGAGCTACACGACGTTTAAACTCGGTAAATAAAGCTTTATTCCTTCCTGCAGGTGAGCAGCGGAGCTTGGCAGCAGCTCAGGGAGAACCTGGCGCTGGCGAAGACCAAGAAGCCTCACGAGCTGGGGGTGGACGGAGCCGTGCCGCCCGACTCTTTGGCCATCGAGAAGATCCGCCAGAAGTTCCTGAACATGAGGAAGATGTACTCGCCCGAGAAGAAGGTGTCGCTGCTGCTGCGGGTGTGCAAGCTCATCTACACCATCATGCAGGACAACTCGGGTAAGCGAAAGTTAAAACTCCAGGTCGTGTGGAATCTCTCCGGTGCGATTGTTTACGGTTTTGTCACCGCCACGCCTACGTCTGCTTCCTTCCAGGGAGGATGTACGGTGCCGACGACTTCCTGCCGATGCTGACCTACGTGGTGGCTCAGTGCGACATGCCGCAGCTGGACACGGACATCCAGTACATGATGGAGCTGCTGGACCCGTCTCTGCTTCAAGGAGAGGGTACGTGAGATAAGATTAAACTCCAGGAGGTCTTGTGCTGGCTATTGTTCAGGAAAAACCAGAGGATGTAACCTAAGAATAGGTCAACAGAAATAAGGCTGGACTACAGAAGTAGAAAGTAATACGGTTGAGGTAATGTCGCGCGTGATAATGAAATATTCCAGCTGAAAAATGAGAAAATAAGAATGAAAATGTGCATCAAAGCGAACGAAATGCTCCACATGATACGGAGCAGAGACTACTGAGAGGCATTATCGCAAATGATATTGATGTAGTTTACTGTGAATGTCCAGCTGCTTAGTGATTGATGACATTAAAGAAATGTAGAGTATCACAAATCCAACCTCCCCTCTTTGTTAGCCTAGCTTAGCATCGAGGCTCGAAACAGAAGCCTCTAAAACTCGCTAATAAATACTGTGTGTCATGCTGGAACCATTATTTGATTAAATTTATTGTGTTTACATTCTGGAAATGTAAATCCTACTATTTGTTGAGCTGCTCCATATCTACGTGTACAGTTATTGTTCAGTATTTATATTCTTACTTTTTTTTATCTGTCTTTCTGCTGCTGTTGACAATTTTTCCAGCTACAGGGGCTTAAAAGATGTTTTATCTCGAAATGAATTTGACAGTCAGGATTTATGGTCATGTTTGAGGTCATTACCATGTGATAACATGTCTGGATCATTTCCGCTTAACTACTTCACGTCCTTCATTGACTGGAACTGCAGCATTTATTATATTTACTGACAGTACGAGTTTCGGTTTTGTGTTTTCGGTGATGTTTCGCAAAAGGCAGTGACGCAATTTCAGTGGAAAATCTTTAAACGTCGCCAAAATGACACTATTTATTGGAACAGAAAGAATTATTGTTGTGTTTTTGTTTTTTTTCAACTCCAACCGTCTTTAACTGCTTCTGTCAGGAAAATTAGACAAGTTTCAACTTTCTGCTGCTGTTGACATTTTTCCAGCTGCAGATCACTATATTGTCATCCTTAGAGTTGAACACAGAGTAGTGTCAGAAAATAGAGCAATAATCACAGGACGTAACATCCCATTAAACTACTTTCTAACGTGTTAATTAACCCTCCGAACTTTAAAATCTGCTCACCTTCTTAAAAGATGTTTTATCTCAATATGAATGTTAAGGTCAGGATTTATGATCACGTTTTGGTGCGATTACGTGTCTGGATCGTTTTCGTTCGACTACTTCACGTGCTTCATTGGAGCGTTTATTACACTTACTGATAGTACGAGTTCCAGCTGTGTTTTCGCGCCAGGTAGTGACGCAATTTCAGCGGGAAATCTTTTAAACATTGACAAAATTATACCATTTATTGGAGTTGGAAAACAAAAAGAATCATTGGGGTTTTTTTTTTTTCAACTCTCCAATCGTCTTTAACTAATCGTGTGATTTGCACTTCTATCAGGAAAATAAGACAAATTTCAGCTTAAAATTATAATACGTCACAAAAATCATGTCTCGTTTAAGAATTCGCCAAAAATAAACAGCTTAAAACAAAAAAATTAAGCACTCCTCGGCACAACTGAGGAGCCACGACTGAGCAACCATCACATGGCAAAACAATAGGGAGTTAAAATATACATTAAAAAATAAAAATACCCAGAAAGTTAATAAAGTTTTTTCCGTCTTCATGCTAGGCTAGGCTAACCACATGCTAGCGTCTGCTCTATAGTGAACATACAGATATTAATCTTCTAATTTCACCATCCAAAACGTTGCAAGTAAGTACAACTTATTGAATACATCACAGTGTGCTTGAACCCTGATTAGCAAAAGGGCACAACGATCCTGAGGCTCTGTTGGTATTTATGTTTCCATCACCTCCGCCTGAGCTTATATAACGTTGGATGTTTCCTTCATGAGCTCAGGCACATCACAGTGTGGTGTGAGGTCCAGGCGAGGTCCACCCTGTTGTATAACCCGGTCAAAGGAAGGGCTGTGCTTAAGACCTCCAGTTTAAATCTCAGTAATATCATCAGACAAGTTTAAATGTGCACCTGCGGTTGTCAGAGTGGTGCTTCCAGGGAGTGTTTTAAATGCGGCAGGAGCGCTGGGAGCAGTGTGTCGCCGCACACAAACTACTTTGAAGGGTAGAGACTCTTGACATCATCTTGTAAAGGGAAACTTGCATTTCTTCTAAGGCTACGAGAGGCACTTGGAGAATAAAGATACTGAAACATGGTAAAATAGCTGCAGCAGTTTCCATCTGTTCTTAGCTATGTTGGCCACTGGTCCACGTTTTATTTGGTTTAGTGAAGGTACAAAGTATGATCCATGAGTCAGAATTCATCAGAAATCCCTTTGAAATATCCTCGTGAAGACTAGAGCGAAGACAATAGATTGTAATCACGACTGAGGTATCATCAGCTTAGTCATTGTTTAGCTTCTCTGCAGCTCACAGGCCTTCTGCATCTCAGCTGGGTTGACTTTACCTGGAAGGTTCAGTGAGAAAGCCTGAGAAACGTGCTCATGGGAAGGAAAGGTCCTGACGACAAGGGTAGGAAATTCCATTCAGTGTTTAATTTGAATGGGCTGGAACTGGTTCAGAAGAAAAGAGAGTCTGAACCTGCCCAGAGTGAAATATTTTCCTATTAGCGTCAACCTGTCTGGCATGAAGCTGAATTAGTGAAGCGCTGACTGAGAAAGGAGCTCGTCAGTGGTGTAACTCGATCTCTCCGTGACCTTTATGCACGAAATCTGATTCGTATCTAACACAAAGGAGGAAGCACCGACGACTTCTTACATCAGACCTCAGCTGGTTTCATTTCTAGATAATGAAGTTTGGCTCTTACGTTGCTTTTTCTTTGTTCTTCATGCGTGTTTTGCGTTTCACCCCCCAGGCGGCTACTACCTGACCAGCGCTTACGGGGCCATGTCGCTCATCAAGAACTTCCAGGAGGAGCAGGCGGCTCGAGTTCTGAGCTCCGAGGCCCGGAACACTCTGCACCAGTGGCACTGCCGGCGCACCGCCCAGCGCTCGGCTCCGACCGTGGACGACTTTCAGGTATCACGGCTGACCTGAGCCCACCTTGAACATCCAGGCAGTGAGTCTAAGTAGTACCAAATAAAATCCAAACTTCCACGTTCGGCATTGGAAAGGTGCATGAAAGGTGCTGTGTTCTGGCCTCCATCGGCGACAACGACCGGTTTCTACTAACATCACGGCATGCGGACTTGCACCCTAGCACCCCCTAGTGGAACAGCTGCATGTGGTTTCTTTATCTACGTTTAACTGCATGTGAATTTTCCAGGATTATGTTTCTGCACGATTGTGTTTCTGTGATTTTTTTCAAGGCAGCGCCACCTACCGAATCAGATGGTTGTTTAAGTATTATTTTAAAGATGTGTTCCACCCAAAATAATGTTGTTCAGGGACTACCACTAAGGCTTTAAGGGTTTATTCCAACAGAAATACTACAATGTCCTAGCTTTCAGACTTTGTTCCACCCAAAATACCACATTGTCCAAGTCCACAACTTGTTGTTTTAAAGGTTTATTCCACCGTAAACACTGTGTTGTTCAAGTATTTAGTCTGCGACTTGGGCTTTGAGGGTTTATTCCACCAAAAATACTATTGTTTCCTGGTTTTAAGATTTTGTTGCATCCAAAATACTACATTGTTCAAGTACTTAGTCCACAACTCATTGTTTTAAATGTGTATTCCATCCACATGCTACTATCTGTCTCATAGGTTTTGTCCCCACTCACAGTACTACATTGTCCAAATACTTATAATTTTTAAGGTTTATCGTCGCCAAAACATTGCATTTTCAAAGTATTTCACAGAGTCATTCCACCGACTTTCTACTAAGGGTTGCATGTTGGACCACTTGTCTAATTAGTATAATTAATTCTTTATTAGATAAATTATGGGCCTGCTCGGTGGTTAGCACCGTTGCCTCACAGTGTGAGGAGTCTCCATGTTCTCCCCGTGCAGCGTGGGTTCTCTCCGGGTTCTCCGGCTTCCTCCCACACAGTCCAGAAACATGTTGAGGTTAATTGGTGATTGTAAATTGTCCGTAGGTGTGAATGTGAGTGTGCTTGGTTGTCTGTCTCTAAGTGTAGCCCTGTCATAGACTGGTTACCTGTCCAGGTGAACCTGCCTTCACCCTGAGTCAGCTGGGATAGACTCCAGCCCCCCATGACCCTAGTGAGGATTAAGGGGTGTATAGACAATGGATGGATGGATTCCATGGCCTTTGTATTCATAAGAACCCAAATAGATGTTTGAAAAGAGGACGACAAGACACAAGAACATCTCTGGAGGGGATATGTACAATATGTATACACAATAATATATGATAACAACCAACTCCATCCCCAATGTCACTCAACCTACATTCAAATAAAACTTGGTTCTTGCTGTAATTGTTCTGAAATCCAGTCCTTATGTCAATCCACTGCTCCTTTAGTCATCTGCTTAGGTAGGTGGTGCTGTTACACAAAAACACGGATCCTATAAATGTGGTTCTACAACTGTAGCCTCTACTGCTGTAAACACAAACAACCCCAGTCTTCTGCCTGCTCCCTTCACTCCTCAATTAAGCTGATTTCAATCATTGTGAAGATTTCTGTCTGTCCCGCCAGACGTTAACTTGTTTTACCTTTTGCAGAACTATCTGCGTGTCGCCCTGCAAGAGATGGACTTGGGCTGCACGGCCAAAACCCTGGTGGTCCACCCGTACACCACCACAGAAGAGGTGAGCTCGCTCTGCGCTTACAAATTCAAGATCCCCGACCCCGAGAACTATGCACTGTTTCTGGTCACCGAAGACACCAGCCAGCAGCTCGCTCCGGACACTCACCCCCAACGGATCAAAGCCGAGCTCCACAGCCGGCCTCATGCACAGACCTTCCACTTCGTCTACAGGAGGGTGCCCAACCTGAACCTCTGTATACCCGCCGTCATGCAGAACGGAAACTGCCTTCAGGATGAATAGCCGGGCGGGGTCGGGGATGCAGCAGCTTGTCCGGTTCTTGTGGTGCTTGTTTGTTTTCGTAGATAGATTTTAGGACGTCTGAATGGAAGCAGAAGCTGTACATTGGCGAATTGATGCAAAATAGAAAAATGCTTTCTTGATTTGTAGATGATGATGAGTTGGCTGGTGAGTTTATGAGGAGCCACCACATGGTAGGAGGGACTCTGGAAAGTGACTGTGTTTACCTCAAACACTTCGAGACTGGTTCAGACTTGGGAAAGAAAAGGACAAAAACTGGTCAATTTGCATGTAGGGTTTGGCCGTATCTGTCGTGGTGAGGCCAGAAGTGGAGGGTTATAGCACGTGTAGTCGAAGGTGAGACGTTTGATTGTGTTGGACTTTGATGCCATCGTCGGAGTGGACGTCATGCAGTAAGATATTGCGTTTTATGTAACTGATTTTGCCTTAACTGCTGTTCTCCAGGTGCCTTTAAAAAGGAATTGAACATGAAATGTGCTACTGAAAGCAGTCATCCAGTGATTAGTCAGCATTCACCGAAATGAACTTAAAACTTCATGCTAAAACATTATTTAATAAGTAAATTGAGCTATTGTAAAATATATGATTGTTTGAGGGTTTTTTTTTTATTAATGGTCACTACAATTGCTGGTCAATTGCAGCTTGTATTTCTGTGTAGAAATATTTTTATATTCAAATGTTTTTCAACCCATAAGTGACAAAGATTTGTACTCTGATTTAATATTTCTGTACTGGACTCAATACTGGACTTATTTATGCCAGGTATTTCTCAAAAGTCAATTAAAAAATCAACACTGTTTGTATTGTTTGTTATGAGGAGCTCAGAGCTGATTGTGGAAATATATAAAATATGTTCAAAAAGAGGCAACTCGCTGTGTTCGTTTAAATTTTTTAAGAAGTCAGATTTCACTGTGTTGCCGTATTTCTAAGATACATTCTGCACTCAAATTACCAACATAATTAAATCCACACATAAAGTGGAAATAAATGATTTGCCAATAGGGGTCTAAAGTGGTAAGATGGGAGACTATTTCTAGAGACTTCCAGTCCATTTGATTACAACCATTTGTACACGTATTCACAAAAAGGGCATTGTGTATACCTGATTGCATCACATCATAGGAGCATAAAAGCTTCCTGGAACTGTTAGTAAGAAGTTCAGCATCAAGCCTCACCTTTCTGCGCTTCCAGTTCCTTGTGACTCGGCCGTCTTGACTTTCTCTTTGGATTCAATTAAATGTCTTTAAAGCTGCGGGTGTGGCTTCTGTATCAAATGCAGACGTGCACTAAAAAACGGCTGGTGTCTGTTTAAGATAAGAGACCGAAAACAGGCAGCAGATGAGGGGCAGGTGCTCAAATATCAAACACTAATGAGCATCTAGAGTAAGTACAAAAGTATATGATTTCCAAATCACTAAATATCCCTTAGATCAGTGGTTCTCAAACCTTTTGAGCCACGACCCCCAAGACAGCATAAGTTTGTGTTCGTGACCCCCCCCCATTAGAATTTTTAATATATCACGAGTAATAACTTTGTTGTTCATGCATGAAAAATGAATGTGTTAATTCCACAGATTAATCTCTTTACATTAACACGTTAATTTTCTTTTGAATGAATTGAATTTATTTCGAACAAATGAAAGGGAAAAAATATAAACATAAAAGAAAATCATTTTAAAAAGAGCAGAAAAGAAGAATAATATCGCATAATCAAATCAAATATTAAGAAGTTCGAAAAAGGAGTGGGAAGAAGTGTACACTTTTAATTATGACAGCCCTAATACAAATGCATTTGATAAATGTAGGCTTTATTTATTTATTATTATTATTATTATTTTTCATTGATCTGGCGACCCCCTGAAATTATCTTGGGACCCCTATGGGGGTCCCGACCCCCAGTTTGAGAACCACTGCCTTAGATTACAGTTATATCCATTGTTAAGAAATGGAAGTAATATGGCACATGTGTAAATCTGCTGGGAGTAGAACATCTTAGGAACAAGACTGGTGACGGCGACCACCAAGACGCCTGTGAATCCTCTAAAGGAGTTACAAGGTACTATGCACCACCGTGCTTCATCATGATGCTGCCACCACCGTGCTTCACGTCATGATGCTGCCACCACCGTGCTTCACGTCATGATGCTGCCACCACCGTGCTTCACGTCATGATGCTGCCACCGCTCTATGCAGATTTACACACATACCATATTCCTTCCATTTCTTAATAATGGATTTAACCGTGCATTCGGGGGTTTTCAGTGACTTGGAAATGTTCTTGTATCATCCCCTGACTCGTGGTTTCAATACTCTTTTCACAGAGTTGCTTGTTGTCATATCCAGAAGTACTGGAGTCCACCAGTGACTGGACCTTCCAGATACAGCACTCTTCATATTATAATCACTGAGACTCATTCACGGCACTCAGATGGTGTAAATTTTACTAACTATGTGACTTCTAGCGCCAACTGGTACACCTGTGTTGAATTAGGTGGGATTTTGTTTTCTATATGTTTTTAATGAATTGACACAACTTTGTAGAAATCTGTTTTCACTTTGACATGAAAGAGTTTTAAATTCTTGTCAAAAAAAGTCCAACTGACCACGACTCGGTGCTGAAAAGCGGTGAAGGGGTGAATACTTTCTATATGTACTAAACTTTATGTAGCTATTTCAATCATGTCTTCACTTTTTGCCATCACTTATCTGTTTAAATCATTTATGCATTCCCATCTGCTGCCTATTTCTGCTGCTTAGATAACTTTTTCTGCTCAAACCAGTCGAGCTCCACTCTGAGCTAAGCCAGAGACAGACAGAGAAGTATTCTTAGAGGAAGCCAGGAATCACGTTGTTTATTTGAATTTGCAGCAGCTGTTGCAACTTTAAGTCTTGTAATCATGCACGAGGAAGAGGAGTGAACCAGCGCAGACAGATGCAGGTTCTTTGGCTTTTTTCTTCAGCCAAACACTGCCCCGCTGTGGTCCTTTATCGGCACTACAGCCACCTGAACATGAGCATCTGGGTGAGTATATTACATTTACAACGTTTGCAGGACTTCCTATAATAAGTGACAGCATAGCTACTCGTTAGTCTGCACAGTGCTGGGATTAAAAAAGGGTTCACTTCCTGAAAGCAATTTGTCAGAGTTTGCCTTCAAATTTTGGTCCAACGGTGCAAAAACCTTTTCTCCTCATAGGGCCTATTATTGGTTAAATAACATCCATCCATCCATCATCTATACACCTTAATCCTCACTAGGGTCATGGGGGGCTGGAGTCTATCCCAGCTGACTCAGGGTGAAGGCAGGTTCACCTGGACAGGTCACCAGTCTATCACAGGGCTACACTTAGAGACAGACACAGCAGGTGTGAACACAGCATCACACATTTTAAATATCGCTCGATCACGCAAATTTGATCGCTGGAAACCAATGTTGTGATTAAAATTTGATTAATTGTGCAGCCCTAACTAAAAGCAGAGACTCTTGTCGTGCAAACACCTGCAGCAGAGTCCAAAACTCATCAGGCCGTCATGTAAACGTGGAAACAAGCGGAGAGTATGAGGCTCCGGAGACATTTTAACAGAAGCTCTGACGTGTGGATTCAAGAAAAATATTTCAGATTCTGCTCTGTGTCTCTACGGTATTTATTGTAGACGTCAGAGAGGTTGTTGTAGGACGAAGAGGTGTGATATATCAGTTTGGTACAACATTGTCAATGTTTAATTTTCATGTGTGATGTTACCTATTACCTCAGTTTTAACTCCTTTTTTATCTTATTGCTTTTCCACTGTCCCGGTACTGCAATTCTTATGTTTATTGTTTTTTTTTCTGAGCGATATCTGGCACAAGGACTTAATAATAAGAATTTAATATAATCTTTAAATTAGAAAGCAAAATATACCAGAATGTGATTTTATTTTTTAAACTGTCATATTGACATGATTTTTAACTAGCAGCTATAATAAAACAGCATAGTTTCTTATTTATATATATATTTTTGTTGGTTCTGGTGGGCCACCCTGGAAGTCCATCCGGCCCCCCCGGTGAAGGCCTCCTGGAGCCGCCCCTGCTCGGTGAAGCTGCCGCTGGAGGAGGAGCCGGCAGACACACACACACACACACTTCAGCCGTCCTCCACAGCAGAGGATCCCGTATCCAGCCTTCCTTCTTGGATGCAGTTTGATTTTTTTGGGATTTCACCGGTTTTTTCCTCCGTGTTTGGTTGTCTTCGGCTAGCAAAGCTGCCCTGAGCGCCGCCGCCTGCGCACCGCGTCTCCCAGTAAGTTTGTCCTTTAAAAGTAATACATTTATTAATTTAAAAAAAAAAAAAAAACAACAACTAAATAAACACGTCGCCATCACCAGCAGCAGCAGCTTTAACCTGTCAGCTCGTCCATTTAGGCGGCTAAGACATGTCAGCTAAGCTAATTTAGCTTCCTAACGTCTCTGTTTCATTCCTGTTAGCTTCTCCAGCTAGCTGCACTGAGGCTAGTTTCTGTTTCACCTGTGAGAAGGAAAAGTTCACTCAAGGATCTGAGCGACAGTTTAACGACACAAAACCCCGTCAGGCATGTTGGGCAAAGCCTAAACCCACAAGGACCCACGGTGACACAGGTGTCACACCCCCTTTAAATATTCTGGAAAGTTCCTAATAGACATATATTGTTGAATTGAACTGATGAGGTCCCAAAGTGACATCCAGTGAACATCCTGATGAAGTCATGTGACAACATGTGGAAGGCTGTTCACATGACCTGCTGAGCACATGGGAGAAAATTTACCAATTTAAAAAGCTTGTTTTTTGATAGCAAAGATAAGTTTCAACCCATTTAACAATAGTAATCCTTCAATAACATGTCAAAGGTCACATTGAAGCTGTTCTGATCACATTCTTTACACAAATAGATGTATGACAAATTTAGAAAACATCGCTGTGACATATATGTCACATCGGGCCTTTAAAAAACATGTGACGTATTTGTCACAGTAAGAAAAATTGCAGTGAGTTGCTCAAATAATTAAGCTCAATCAGTCAATTTGTATCAATGTATTGTTCATTTGAAAGCACACTTAGACAAATATGAACAAAGAAAATAATGTTAAGGTAAATAAACGAATAATAAAATGTATTATGACGCATGTTTTGCATGTCAGTCCCAAAACGGCACCTTGTCTTCAGCTCAAACACTTTTCTTGGTAAATAAATAGACAAAGTGTCTGTTAGGAAAAGTGGCCGGCATGTCAGAATATCAGTAAAGTAAATAAAACATACCGTGAAGAGTTTAATAAAATCACTCGGAGCTTTTTGTGAGTGTGGGTTTTGATTCTTTAACCAGAAAATATTCTTTCTACTAATTGAAAAAAGAAAAAGAAAAAAGAATTTGTTTTAGGAATCAAACAAACGTGGTTCAAACGCAACAGAAAAGAGTTGAAATGAATCAAGAAGGTTAAAATCAGTTTTTTTTACACTGTGGTTACTTTAAAACAAACCGATAATTAGCACTGAAAAATGTATATGTGTTAATATATGAGCTTCACCGCCTTGATGAGCTGATGATTGGAGAACAAACTGATTTTTACGATACCCAAGAAAACATTCAGTATCTTGATAGTAAGATAATAAGACTTCATGTACTGTATATATATTGTTAATCACGCACTACTGTCACATGTTTTCAGGAAGATGGATCTCCAAACCTGCCTGAAAACCTCGCTGAGGAGCAAATACCAGAAGCTGAAAGAAGCAGAGAAATCATTGCTCCCCTTGAGAATCTGCTATCAGAACAACGACTCGACATCTCCCACTTGGAGCTCCCACCAGTTCAGACACGTGGATTTTTCTAGCCTTGCTGCGCACTTTCTTTCTGTGTGTGTCCCGCTCACCGATGTTTTATCGAGTGACCGCAGACTTTTCATCTCCAACAGAGCCATCCTCACGCTGGGAGTGGACGGCATCGGAAAAACCACGATGGTGCAGAGATTCGCCCTCGACTGGGCCGAGGACAGAGGGCACGGCGACATCCACTTCCTGTTTGTTCTCAATTTCTGGGAGTTAAATTTGCTGAAACACAAACTGAGCCTGATCGAACTTCTCCAGACGTTTTACCCGGATCTGAAGGGGCTCAATGCTTCCAGCCTGAAGAGAGACGGCGTGTGGTTTGTCTTCGACGGACTGGACGAGTTTAATCTCACGCTGGACTTCTCCCGTCCAGCCGCGAGGGATGTTTCTGAAGCATCCACAGTCGATCATCTCATTACCAGTCTGATTAAAGGAAGTCTACTTCCCGGCGCTCATGTATGGATAACGTCCAGATATTCAGCTGTGAGGCGAATCCCCAGAAACTATTTTTTTAAAGAGACTGAAGTGCTGGGGTTCAGCGATGCTCAGAAGGAGCGGCACATCAGGACACTTATTGACAATGAAGACGTGGCCTGTAAAGCAATCGACCGTATGAAATTATCATCAAGCCTCACCTTCCTTTGTCAAATACCTCCAATCTGCACCGTTATGGCAAATGTTCTGAATAATCCTCTCGAAGCAAAAAACCGCTTTAAGTTAAAACCTTTGACGCTGACTCAGATTTACACTCTGGCTTCCAGTGTGGTGGAGGCGTCAAATTCAGGTGTTTTGGGCAAACTGAAAAAACTGGCGCTGCTTCGGATGGGAGAGGGCAGCGTGATTTACGAGGAGGACCTTTTAAAGACGGGCATCACTGTTGAGGAGGCGTCAGCCTTCTCCAAAGAGTGCCCGCTTCTGCTGAGAGAGGACTCGGGTTTGCATGGCACCACGGTGTTTCGCTTCGGTCACGTGAGCGCTCAGGAGTTTTTGGCTGCGTCGGCTAAACTGGACGAGCTTCAAGTGTTGGGGACCGCTTCTCTCTCCGAAAGCTGCCGGCGTCTTGTGGACGAAGTTCGGGAGGACGTAAATGGGAAATGGGATGTCTTCCTCCAGTTCATCTTTGGCCTCATCAAGGAACGTAGCCTGCTGGGGCCCAATGATGAGCTCTTTGTCTACACCAAGTCCATGTTCCTGCAAAACATTTTGTTTGACGAGGTCGACCCTTTGCTTAACTGTTTGAGGGAGTACGACCCCCAGGCTTTACGGACAGAGGCGGAGTACTATCTGAAATACGATCGCGCGCTGATCCACGGGTTCCTGCCGATTCAGTGGCACGTTCTGATACAAAGGCTCACACACTTGGACGGGTTAGAAGAACATTTTAAGATGCCAGTGACGGAGAGGTGTGACGACAACCTCCTCAGGCAGATACCGACTGTTTTGAAATCAAGCAAAGCCATGTAAGTTGCATTTATATTGTGCATACCATGAATATTAGGACATTTACGTGTGCATTTGTTAGCAAAATTCTTCAGTGGAGTCCTAACTGCTCTGAATCAGTCGTCTCTCAAGTCAAAGCAAAGTTTTACTTGCAGCAAGGAGCCAACAGGACAGGTTCTGAACGAGCGACTGACTAAAACCATGAAGCATCGGTTCTTACGTACAGACAGTGAAGAGAAAACCGAAAACAACCTCCCGCAAATGGGTGCGAATAGGCACAGTTCTCATGGTGTTTGGACTACCCGCTAAGAACAGCTCGTCCTTATCTCACACTCACAAAGTGCAGTAGCGGTAATGGACACTGACAGTATTAACTCATAGACTTCTCACAAAGAGCACTGGATCATTACAGAATTATTTTAACAGCATTAAAGTGTCGCCTCATACGAATTGCAAAAAGAATCGACACATTATCGGTGGATGAACAAACGTGTAATATCTGTTTAGGAAATTTTACAGCGTTTGACAAATGCTCACAAACAGGATAATGTGCTGTCTGAGTTTTGTTGGACCCAGTCAGTCACCGAGCACGAGTCACCTCTATACATCACATTTTACGGTTTGTGATGTTTGTCGCCCAGGAAACAATGTCCTCTATTGCAGATGTGATTTTTTACAGTTGCATTACACATATACAATTCAGTAAATCATCCATCCATCCATCATCTTTTCAATTCAATTCGATTTTATTTGTATAGCGCATATTTACAACAACAAGTCATCTCATAGCGCTTCACAAAGGCAGAAACAGAAACACCCAACAATCCAAAACATCTGGATTCCCTATAAGCTTCAGCAGTCCGCAAGCAGTCCACAACAGTGGGAAGGAACCGAAAACCCCCACAGGGGAAAAAAAACCTCCGACAGAACCAGGCTCAGGGAGGGACGGCCATCTGCCTCGACCGGTTGGGTGGATGTAGGATGAATTATACAATGTAGTTTACAGTTAAACAAGTTATTAGAATTTATTGTCCTTTTGTAACAGGATCGACATCTATACACCGTTTAATCCTCACTCGGGTCATGGGGGGCTGGAGTCTATCCCAGCTGACTCAGGGTGAAGGCAGGTTCACCTGGACAGGTCACCAGTCTATCACAGGGCTACACTTAGAGACAGACAACCAAGCACACTCACATTCACACCTACGGACAATTTACAATCACCAATTAACCTCAACATGTTTTTGGACTGTGTGGGAGGAAGCCGGAGAACCCGGAGAGAACCCACGCTGCACGGGGAGAACATGGAGACTCCACGCAGAAAGATCCTCACCGGGATGCGAACCGGCGACACTCCTGCTGTGAGGCGACGATGCTACCAACTGTGGCCTCAGTAAATGATGAAACACAAAATTTCCCCCGCATTATTTACATTATTAGCCTCAATCAACCTAAAAAGCTTGTATTTGCAGCATATTAACTCAGTTCCAGTGTGGAATAACCAGGTTAAAATGACTTTGTAAGGTAATATTCCTGCCAATACAATGCCAGTGGAAAACTGGAGGCCAAAAATAATACGTTAGTCCTCAAAAGGACGTTGATGTTGAGCTTTACTCCTTATGAAAGCAACACCAGTGATTGTCTGACAGATGTGAATTTGGTCAGAATCGAGCAAACCGACCAGCCAGTCAACCTGGAAACAAGACAGTATGTAGATGGTTTCATACAGCAACTGGAGTTTTATTTGTGAGCTCCATTGTAAACACTAGACGAGCATCATTTTGTTAGCGGAAACCATGTCCTGGTTGCTGTGGCTAATCAGCTGTTTAAAAAGGGGGCAGTTTCTTGAATAGAAACAATGAAAGTGATTCTCAGTTTTAGTTTGTGTAAATCAGAAATGCTTCACTGATGCATGGAGGGGGAAATTATCATCATAAAATAATTTCCCACACTGTGGATGACTTTGTTCGTGAGCTTTCTCTCGTGATTTATCCCTTTTCTCCTTTTTCTTCAAACTTTTGCCAGGCCTAAAGATGCGTCTAATTTGTCAATGACTCCCATCTCCTCGCAGGCTGAGATTCTCTAACCTGACAGACAAGTCCTGCGAAGCCTTGGCAGCAGTCCTGAGCACCAGGGAGTCCAACCTGACTGAGCTGGACCTCGGATACAACAGCATCAGCGACTACGGAGCGGCTCTTCTCGTGGAGGGGCTGGCCGATAGAAACTGCAGGCTGAAATCGCTCCGGCTGCAGTGCTGCAGAGTGACCTCCCTGTCCTGTAAAGACCTGGCAGACGCCCTGTTCGTGACCAAGACGCTGCAGGAGTTGGATCTGAGCAGGAATGAAATAGGAGACGAGGGAATGTTCCAACTTTCAGAAGGTTTGAAAGTGGCTCAGTTGGAAACGCTGAAGTAAGTGTTGACGACTAAACTTAAATTTGCTTCGGTTTCAATAAAGCTTTAGTTATGTACCCAAGTTTAATGTAACACAAAGTGCTTTCCAGATGAAAGGGATAAAAACGCAGTTAAAACAATACAAGAAATACCCCCACAGCCCCTATGTCATGTCATAAATGAAAGACTCAGAGCACAGAGATTGAGGAATTTAGAAGCTATTCTAAATAACACATGCAATTAGTGAGTCACCAGATGAAATAAAATGAGTAAAATGTAGTATCCATGAATTAGATATAGATAGATGGCCAGGTAGAGGAAGTCAGAAGTCAAATTAAAATAAAAATACAATAAATAGATAAAAAATATGTAAGTAAGTGAAGAAATATACAAAAATAACAAATAAAATTGTGTAAACAACTGCTAATGCAGGATGTAGCTCATTTTACCAGCATGTTTGCATAGAAAATAATAATAAAACTACACAAACGTAATTTGAAATTGCTCAGCTACAAAGAGTTTTAAAACATGCATTTTAAGTTCTTGTGCGTCGTCTTTTCTTTTTGTTATCGTAGACTATCGCAGTGCAACATTGAGAAACAGGGCTGCTGGGATCTGGCTGCAGCTCTGCAGGAGAACCCCAAACACCTCAGAGTGTTGGATCTCAGCAGCAACATGGTCGGAGACGACGGCGCCAACGAACTCTTTGAGAAATTCGACATATCGCGGCTCAAAAAGCTGGAGTGAGCGCGACTTCATGTAAAAAAACGCATTCAGCCGTGCTGGCAGATGGCGGCCGTCCAGTGATGTTTTGCTTTTCTTCGTGTCTCTTCGGCAGGATGTACCACTGTGGCCTCACTGCACTGAGCTGTGGACTCATCGGAGAAGCCCTGAAGTCTGAAACCAGCGCTCTGGTGGAGCTCAATGTGAGCAACAACAGCTTGAAAGATGCAGGATTTCGAGTCATGTGCGAAGGCATGTACGCATGGTGCAGCCTGGAGAAACTCAAGTAAGGATGCTTTGATTACACACTGACTGAAAATAAAAGTGTTCGACCCTCTGAAGCCCAAAACCTGCCCGTGGGGTTGAAAGATAGGTTCTTAATTCATTTCTTTGGGGAAATTCAAAGCAAATACAGAAGATAACGTGCAAAGTAATCTGCAAATCGTGCTGGTAGGGACATTTTACTTTAAAAAATAACCACAATTTGACCATTTTTCTGAACCAAAAACTGTACACTAAACTAAACTACATCATTTATCAGAGCCAGTAACTGTAAAAATAGAAAGAGTAGTCTGATTTCGAACTTTCTGGTGGTCTTTGAACTTCTCTTCTGTGATATGATGTTGAAGGTAAATTTATGTTGTTTTTTTCTCAAAACCACTTAATGTTACATGTCTTACCAATGATTTTTTTTCTTTTTTATGGTAGACTGTATGTACTTTTAGAATACTCCATTTTATTGTAAATATCAACATTTTTTGCCCCTTTTTTTGTACATACCAGCATTTTTGGGACTTGATTGCAGTTTCTTCGACCAACACGATTTCCACATTAATTGCACGTTCTTCTGTACATTGTTTACTTATCTGTCTTGTGTGTGGGAGTCACTGGATACCTTGAATTTCCCCAAGAGGTTGAATAAAACGTCCATCTGTCCGTCC